TCCCACCTATTGCATTTAGGTTAAAATCTGTGAAAAAATGTATGCTATATGAATTTACGATGTATTTTTTAAAAATGCTAAAATCTGTCAACTAATAAAAATCTGTCATCTGTTGTCATCTTCTCATTAGGTGCGCTCTCATCCGCATAATCCGGATTATCCTCCTCTAACAACACTTTGATCCTGCATTGCCCTCGTAATCCATTATTAACTGGCAAAGTGAAACTAGTCTCAGGACGTCGACCTTCAGATTTCACCCAACCGTAAAGTTGGGTCGAAAGGTCGGCGTTATGAGCCTGAACCCTTTGAGCAAGGGTATTTTCCCTAAATAATAAACATTTGCAAACCGTGTGTATATTATTAAAACACTTCTATATCATTGTCATGTATTGTTGCTAATACGCCGACGGTTTCTAGGGACATCGATTTATTCACTCCGCATTCCTGTTTATGAGGAAAACCACTATGGTCGTTGTTCTAATCAATAAATGGCGCCTTCTGTCATTGTTTTACTGATTTCACTAACATTAGCACAAACAAATACTAAGTATGTCCAGTGAACGATTCATCTATAATTCTATTTCCAGAATCACCGGTAACATACATGTTTTAAAAGAATAACGTTTAACAGCATCGAATACCGTTTGCACCATAAGCGACTCTTTGCACCTGTGCTGACAAAATAAGCAGTATGGTACCATGGAGTGGGGTTGGTGGTTTTTAAAAAGGTTGATTCAGGAGTAAACTCGGAACATGTAGAAATAGGGAATACTTTAAAACCTTTGAAAATCAGCCTACCTGCTACTCTCCTTTCATGGAATAAGAAATATAAATCCAGACCGATCTCTATATCACCAAAACATGGGCGTTTCAAAATGGCGACTGTGATCACATAAAGCCTACAGTCCGTTTGAGTCAGAAACGGACCGATGAATTGCAAATTTTATCATTGTTCATAATTGCCACATAAATATAAATAGTACACATGTTTATCATTTACTAATACCCAACAGCTTTCTTATATTTGAAAATTTTCCGGACTCCACCAAAAAGGTTCTTTAAGAAACTATCATTAAAATTTTGACACAGTTCACTATTTGTTACGAGGGAGGAGTGCAGAGAAAGGGACAGCCAGGTGTTAGAGAAGTTATTGATTCCTTAGCCTTGATTCCTTAGCCTGTGCTGTGCCGTCTCAATCCTTTCTCGCACACCTGGCTGTCCCTTTCTCTGCACTCCTCCCTCGTAACAAATAGTGAACTGTGTCAAAGTACATAGGTATTCCACAGTTCACTGTTGCTTGGGCAGTGGCTGTCTTTCACAGGCTGGTGAAGACAGGTGGTTACTCACGGATGTTGAACAGATTGTTCATGTTGTTGTTTGCCTGTGAGGTTACTTTCAACGGCGGATATGATTGAAACATGCTCTATTTTTATATTGTACTCATGAAGATCCGGGTTAGAATTGGTGTCTAGTAACCCATGCTTGTCGTAAAAGGCGACTGACGGGACCGGATGGTCAGGCTCGCTGACTTGGTTGGCACATGTCGTTGCATCACAATTGTGTAGATCGATGCTCATGATGTCACTGGATTGTCTGGTACAAACACGATTATTTACAGACCGCCGTCATATAGATGGAAAATGTCTTAAAACTGCTTCGTTAAACAACAAGCAAACCAAAAAACAATTTCCTAAACGTGACGAAAAGAACAAATATTATTACTTGAAATTTTACTGACAAGTCAGTGGGTTACGTCACTTTTTTACAATTGACCTCAGCTGTTACATTACCCGAAATATGACTGGACCTACCTATGGAGTGAGTGAGTTTAGTTTTAGCCGCACTCAGCAATATTCCAGATATATGGCTGCGGTCTGTAAATAATCGACACAATCGACATTAGCTGCGGTCTGTAAATAATCGAGTCTGGACCAGACAATCCAGTGACCAACAGCATAAGCATCGATCTACGCAATCAGGATACGATGAAATGTGTCAACCAAGTCAGCGAGCCTGACCACCCGATCCCGTTAGTCGCCTCTTACGACAAGCATGGGTTACTCAAGATCAATTCTAACCCGGATCTTCACTTACCTATGGACAACAAACTCTGTCTAAGTAGGTTCATGACCGCCTCCGTGGTGTAGTGGTTAGAGCGTCCGCCCGGAGAGCGAAAGGTCGTGGGTTCGATCCCCGACCGCGTCATACCAAAAGACGTTAAAATATGGTACTTGTTGGTCTCTGCCTGGCGCTCGGCATTAATGGGTACAACAAGGACTGGTCGGCTCGGAGTCAGTATAATGTGTCTGAGTGGGGTATTCATGCTTCACTGCGGCATGGTATCTCAGTGGGCTAGCACTATAAATCCAGCTTAAGTCTGGGCTAGTACAAGCAGTCACACATACACATACACACGCATGCACGTCGTCATATGAGCGAAATATTCTCAAGCACGACGTTAAACCCAATTTCACCCCACCTCACCTAGTAGGTTCATAGAAAACAAGATACCTCAAATGCGCCTTCAGAGGCAAAAATAGGTACTTTTTTTATTTGAAAGTGACTACAACTAAGTGACCCCCCACAGCCAAGGCAGACAGAAAATATGTCAGATCAAGTACAAGAGTACCCCAGCCCTCTAATCCAGTTTGACAAAGTTGAAATTCTATCCACAAAGAATCAGGACTTCACGAAAGGAAAACGTTTGGAAGCCATCGAAATCCGCCGCCACAAACCTTTAATCAACTTGATCAACAGACATATAGCTGGAATATATCCGAGAGCGGCGTCAAACAACATGCAACAAACAATCAAACAATACTGAATTAGGGGAGGTTGTCACGAATGGACGTCCCAGCCACCGGGGCATGACAGCTCTGTTATAAGGACACATTCTTGCCATGTGGTCATGCGTGGCCATAACGTTGCCCGTGTCACTCCGACAAATGGTGGATTTTTCCTGCGTGTTATGCAATGGGTGTTGACAGCTGATATCCAGTTAAAGGTTTGCATGTGCATTTCGGGGTTCCTGGTCTTACGTCATTCTGGCAAATACGCGTTTAGTTTTTGGGTTGGATTTGGGCGGCATACTTAAAGACACAACGTCACACATTTCCGAGTGAGTGAGTGAGTGAGTGCGTGCGTGCGTGCGTGCGTGCGTGCGTGGATGAATTAATGAATGAATTTCCTCCAGAGATGAAACCCAAAGATCATACAAAGGATTGCTTTACAAGGATTTGGGTGACATACTTAACTGCATTTCATTCCAATTCTCCAGTATGAATGAATGAATGAATGAATGAAGAGTGAGTGAGTGAATGAATGAATTTCCTCTAAAGTTGAAACCCGAAGATCATACAAAAACAAATACATTACTTACAATACATCACTTACAATACATCACTTGCATAAAACAAAATTACAACATTTGTAGCAAATCATGGCATGTGATCTGTTGCACTGCTATTTAAAACATATTTCACAATGTACAATTTGTGAGCAGTAGGGCGATTGTGTTCAGTAGATATACATTAGATGTTTCTTTAGATTCCGTACGAAGCGACAAAACGACAGTATTATGTATTCCCGTGTATCATAGTCAATTGTTTCAGTTAAGTCATGCACATATGTATATCTGCGTCGAGCAACAATGACAGCATATCATCGTAGTCAAGCATATCTATTTTCACAAGTATATCAACATCAAGTTTAGCAATCAGGCAGGGGAAGAAATTATTTCTGTCGGACATGAAAGATTCACAGCGTAAAATAACATGGCAATCATATTCATAGCAATGTCGAGTACAACGGTTACATTCTTTTGCCACTTGATCCGTGGTTGACACAGAGTTGTATGGGTTGCCTTTAATTAATATGGAGAGATATGGATCAGATTATAAAGGACGGGAATTGGTAAAGTGTGTGCATTTTGTAGTATCGTTAGACATCTGGTCTCTGTGCTTTTCTACCGCCTCCGTGGTGTAGTGGTTAGAGCGTCCGCCCGGAGAGCGGAAGGTCGCGGGTTCGATCCCCGACCGCGTCATACCAAAAGACGTTAAAATATGGTACTTGTCGGTCCCTGCCTGGCGCTCGGCATTAATGGGTACAACAAGGACTGATCGGCTCGGAGTCAGTATAATGTGTCTGAGTGGGGTATTCATGCTTCACTGCGGCATGGTATCTCAGTGGGCTAGCACTATAAACCAGCTTCAGTCTGGGCTAGTACCAGCAGCCGCACATACACATACACACGCATGCACGTCGTCATATGAGCGAAATATTCTCAAGCACGACGTTAAACCCAATTTCACCTCACCTCTGTGCTTTTCTCTCTCTCCAAACTATTTTGTTCATTCTACGAGAGGTGTCTGATTACAATAGATCGCCAAGCTGACTTACTTGGGAATGAACCGCTGATAATAAATTCTTTGATATAGTGGTCTAAGTGATATTTCTTAGCAGTATGTAGGAGGTTACTACATATACTTGTCGGCGGCTAGTATTAGTAGGCTCATGGGTAGTAATATGAGCACAGAATAGATCATTCGTTTCGAGCTGCAATCATTATTAGAGAACCTTTCTAATAATTGTAATCTACATTTGTTTATGTAACCATTCATTGACCACATTCCTAAGTTTGAAACAGATCTGTGCATATGGCGAGCAAAGTAGCGCTGAGTGCGTTCAATCAATTGGAGCTCGTTACCGTATAAGGCTGGTAGCAGTTCACACCCAAAATAGCTTGTAGATAGAATCATTTGTTTCCACATATTAACACATGTAGCAGGATGGAGGTCAGAGATGTTCAGGCCAAGCTATCGCAGTGAATTTACAATTGCTTTGCTTTTCAGCAACAAGACGTGACTCTTTCCCTACAGGATAAATAACTGTATATTATTATTCCCCCTTACTTGACAGAGTCAGAGGTGTCAACTGTATGTACCACCAAAGTTTTACTTTATCATGGAACTCTCCTGGTTTACAGAAAATAAGTGACTTACTCTTAGTGACGTTGTAGGTGAGTATCAATGATTTGGCATTTGAGCGAACTGAAGGAAGAAAAGTCTGTAGACAGCTCAGGGTTGAAGATATGAGTGGGCTGAAGATAGATTGTATCATGGGCTAGTAAAACACAGGGTATGTATATTCCACGAATAGAGGGGCCATTGTTTGTTTTCCTTAGGTCACAGATAAAGTCATATATGCAATAAAACAACAACAACAACAGGATGACATAACTCTACCTTGCCCAACACCCTGTTTCATGGGGAACTCATCAGATATTTTCAGTTGTATGATATTTAAGCACAACTGTCCGTATAGCTGTGGAAGAGAAGATTCTATAATTTGCCTTTGACACCAACGTCATGTAATGACAAAGAGACCCGCATGCCAAATACGGTCGAAAGTTTCTTCATTATCTAAAAGTGCAGCAAACACTTGTGATTCTCTCTCCAGGTAGAAATTAACACATTCTAAAACTGTAAATACAGACATGATTGCTCCATGTTCTTTTCTGAAACCAAATGGTAGAACATCGGGAAAGGATTGGAGGTTACTGTGTGTATATGTTTCTATTCTTCTTAGAATGATTTTCTCTAAGAGTTTAGAGAGGCATGATGCGAGAGTTATGACTATAGTTACGGGGATCATGCTTGTCGATTTTGCCTGCATAAACCGATATTATCATACCTTATCTGAATGCTCGTGGATAGTACTGACATGCAAGTATATGGTTGAACAGGTGTTTTAGTGTGACTACAAGCGCCACTCCTCCAATATAAAGTGTTCATTTGTGTTACCGTCAGGTCCTGGGGACTGCTTTGTTTTGAGATTATTTATATGTCATCTGATTTCTGAGGCGTTGATTTCTGTATATAGGACATCATCTAGCTGATCGTGTCTACAACCATTTTAACCAATAACGCCTCAGCTTACGAACATGTTCATAGAATGTATTCATATCAGCGTGGTGTGTTTGCTCTAGTTTTGCACGTTTTTTCTTTACACTGTTTTCGCTTTGATTTTCGGTGTAAGCGCCTGAATTCCCTTTTCGCATTGTAATAGGATTTGCATAATTTTGGCCTATTGTCAGCTATTCATTATCGCCTTGCTACCCTTATTTCATAGTGAGGTTCATGTAAACCACCGTTTTTCAAGTCAAGTGGGATCTATATACCCTTTGAGGGGTGTATAGGGAGCTAACATACATAAGAAGTTCACTTTGCTGTGGATTAAAGTCTTCTATGACAGCAGGTTGTTGAGAAGTGTCTCAAAGTCTTTCGTATACATATTTATGTGTGCTTCGTCTGCTGAGTGCCACTAAAGTTGTCTTGTATCTAAATTGGATGGAGTGTGTGGTATACATTGTATATAGACAAAGCATGGAAAGTGATCCTAAGTACTATAGTGGTATTGGTCGAGTAAGCTACAGTGGATGGTGTAGTTACTGTATTGCATAAGGCGTGTGTTCAATAACCATCAAACAGCCAATGTCCTTCCACTGATTTACCCACCTGAACTTGAAATTAAGGAGACAAGTGAGACCGCCTCCACTGTTCATATTTAGATCTACGCATAAAGATTCAGAGTGACACAAAGACTATCCACAAAGCTGTATTACAAAGGGGATGATTTCAGCTTTCCAACAGTCAACTTCCCTTTTATGTCAGCAATATTCCAACAGCTCCAGCCTTTGATGTTTACAGTTCACATCTTTTGAGGTACAATCGAGCGTGGTCTTTTCATCAGGAGCGTCAAAGAGCGTCATACCACTCTTGCTCAGAAGTTGTTTAATCAAGGTTACAGTATCCAGGACCTCAGTAAAACTTTCAAGATGTTTTACGGTAGACATATGGATGAAATTTCCAAATTTGATTCATCAGTGACAAAAATGATGTCCGATCTTGACTTATACCATACGTTCCCGAATTATTTCAGTTGAACAAATGACTAGACTTAACATATGTTTATGACGGGTACCATCGGCGGGGCAGGATACGCTGACCTATTCGCGAACACCTGGTATCGTCTCTATTTGACAGTGATTCATAAAATATGCTCTGTTACCGTGTTATCTCATGATGTCAATCACTGGATTGTCAGGTTCATACCCGATTTGTTTACAAACAACATCATACAGCTGTAATACTGCTGAAACTTATATCTGCTCATGATGCAGTCACAATTATACAATCGATTCTGCTTTTGCAAAGATTTCTTATGAATGTGAAAGGGTATTGCCTCTTCCATTAACACTAACAAGGTGTCTATGATCTATTACCTTTTGTAGTAATCTATCACGCGAAGGCATCTTAAATTGCTGAGTGTCAGAATTCACGTAACCTAATATGATCGTATCACCTTTAACCCCTAAAGTATCATACATATCAATAAGTTCATCTAATGCCTTGGCATATGTTGAGTGTAATACGTTGGTTGAAGGAAGACGGCAACTTTTGACGAAGACATCATTACACCCCATAGCATGAACAGCAGCTGCTACAAAGAACTGTGAGTTAGTGTGTAGCGCCTTAGCACTCCTAATGAATTTATCATTACACAGAAATGCAGTCCCACCAGAGCCTTTAGAAAAAGGTGATTGTGAATTACACGAATAGGTAATAACAGAAAATCCTGACAAGGTATTAAATTCATACTCACAATCTGGCGTAAGCCAATGTTCTTGGGCTGCAAGTATGTTCACTAATTAGGAAAAGCCATTATATATATCGCGGGTATCGTGTAATAGACCGCGCACATTCCATGTGAGAAGCCTTAGAGTCATTATTGTTCAGGAACATGGTTGAGTGAGAAACTGGTTTCGAGTTCAGCGTTATCAGGTGTCTGTTGACTATTATTAGTACAATTATTGTTCTGTCCGCGCTGTTCGTAATTCCTGAAGCGAGGAATGTAGTCACGACACTGTATAGCTTCTGGACAAATGTTTTTGGGTGGGGGTGTCTGGGAGTGGGGTGGTCATTCTGAGTCTGTTCTGTGCTTACTTCAGTTGATGCTAAAGGCAATTTTACTGCGCTGGCATAGGAGAGCTTCATTTTTGGCATAACACTGCCAATCTTATCGCCTATAGTCGTTAGTTTGGTGTCTATTTGGATAGCTGAAACGGAGTAGTGCATGTTCATGGATGCTGTCCTCGAGTGTCTTCATTTCTTGTGAATCAAGTTTGACTGGTGCCCCTAGTTCAGATCGTCTCTGTTCCGACTCTTCAAGACTTTTATTAAGATCTTCAATTATTTTGCTCTTGTGCGGGTTCGGGTGGTCAGGCTCGCTGACTTGGTTGACACATGTCATCGTATCCCAATTACGTAGATCGATTCTCATGCTGTTGATCACTGGATTGTCTGGTCCAGACTATTTACATACCGCTGGAATATTTCCGAGTGCGGCGTTAAGCAACAATCAACAAACACTCAAACAATCAAGCAGTCCTGAATAAGGCGAGGTTGTCACGAATGGACGTCCCAGCCACCGGGGCATGACAGCTTTGTTTTAAGGACATATTCTTGCCATGTCGTCATGCGTGGCCATAACGTTGCCCGTGTCACTCAGACAAATGGTGGATTTTTTCTGCGTGTTTACGTTACATTTTGCAAATGGGTGTTGACAGCTGATATCCAGTTACAGGTTTCACATGTGCATTTCGGGGTTCCTGGTCTTACGTCATTCTGGCAAATACGCGTTTGGTTTTGGGGTTGGATTTGGGCGGCATACTTAAAAAAACAACGTCACACATTTTCGACAATGTTTTAGCTTATATAAAATATATAGAAAAGGGCATATGCAGTCACTTCAGCTTCCTACTGATGCAATAAAAGACTTATTATCCCTTACGACTTGCCTGAAATCGATAATTGAAACTTCGAGGCGAACATCTTCCAAACAGAGACCACTTGCCATATATGCAATTATTCAATTGCTCCGTACATCGAAAACTGTTGCACGCGGTGTTGTCGGTGTTTGCCGAAATGGTTTCAGTCACAAGTTGTGCGCAAGATATTCGTAAAGAGCGCTCCAAGGGACATAACTCTATGGGGTTCGTTTGAAATAATGTTCGGTCAGTAGGGGGCGCGAGAATCAATTTAATACGTTGCATTAATTCATTCAAACTTTTCAATTTGATATTGTAATCTAAATACGTATTTTGGGGGGAATAGATTATATGGTAGCTTCCCTGAGGGCCGATAATTAGTATTATTGAGAGAAATGCATTATTTCTTTTAGAAGAAGTGTGGTGTGACATAGTGCCTTTAATCACATACTATTCCAATTCTCCAGATTCTGGAGTATAAACCGAGAAACAATAGTAACCATACCCCTCCCTTTATTTTATCATGTAGTGTTTTCAAATGAAAATATGCAAATGTATCAATACTATATATAGATATCAACTGTGTTGGCGCTCAGTAGGCACTCAGAGAATAATTCTACATGGTTTGCATTTTTAAAAATATGATTTAATTTTGGGGAACGTATAAAATCATCAATTTTGTACACTTGTACTAGGGGTGTGTCATTGATTTTGTACATGACATGCAGAGACGTCACTTACTTTGTACATATACATGTATTTTACTCTCTCTGTGTGTGTGTGTGTGTGTGTGTGTGTGTGTGTGTCATTCACAGCGTACATGTTGCTCCATACAAATCATCATCATGTCTCCTCAACATATCTTATTCCAAGGTAGACTAGTATTTAGGCCCAGTAGTTAAACTCTTCAAAAAATAACCTTATTTACAATGAAAAGGGAAAGGAACACCGGTGAGATGGAAGAATAAGACCCTGAGGGAAATCTTTACCTGCTTCTCTTGGGGTCTCTGCGTTCATTAATTCAATTATTATCAATGATCTCACCTGCTGCAGTTTTACAGGCTTTCTATATAAACTTGAGTATGAATTCTTACAAACAGTACATTTTTTAATAGTTAAATGATATTTCTGATTTGTGTAAATTTTTTACATCCTCAAAGTAGGGATATAATTTCACAGGGAACATACTACCCCTATACCGTGTCTGGCCAAGCTTATCCACATCCTGAATAGATAGAATTAATTAACATGGGGCTGGGTGAGCGGGTTTAACCAGATAGATATGGGTGGAAGAGAAAATGTCTGTGAACCTCGACAAAGGCTACACAAGCTCTCACCCCACCGGGTATTCACTTAACATAATAGGCAGGGGCCCGATCGTCCTGTTTGTGTCGCTACCTTTGTACCCACGCTGAGACCCCTCACGAATGGCGTTTAATGAATCATTCACGGATTACTTGAGAATTTACTAGAGGAGGAACGTAAAGGTTAGTGACATCTGTGCTAATGTCTCTTGATTGCAACTATATTCAGTGTGAGCTGCGTTGACTGAAAAGCAGGCCTTTCTTGATCTGCGTCAGAGGGAACCAGAATAATGTACATTCTCGTGTCGCGTGCTATAAATACTTCACGTTGAGACACGAACAAAACAGTGGAATATGACATCCACCCATTAGAGACCACATTCCCGACACCATCTTTGTATTTGCTATTGGCCTTCAGTTTGTTGGGAGGAATAGAATATATTTGTAGCATTTGTTTGGATCCGTGAGTATTAAGAGAACTCTTCTCATAGCGTTAGCCTGACGTGAAACAGCCACTGCCAATGACATTTGTTTGGATCCGTGAGTATTGAGAAAACTCTTCTCATAGCTCTAGCCGACAATGAACAGCCCTTGCCTATGACTGCAGCGCGTCTCTCCACCCGCCCGGCCAGTAGGCCGTTACAGTTCATGGACTACCCGCCGACACACACTGCCCATGGTTGCTATGAAACAGGCGAGGACATTCAATATAGTACTGGCCCCGTGGAGAAAAATCCAAATGCTCTACAATTGTTTTTTGTGAGACCCGATTGATTTTGAATATTAACAAACATAGATATCTTCTTAAGTCTCTTACATTAATTCTTACATAAATGTGATTATCAAGAGGCAATGTTGATATAATACTTTTAAAATGTACAAGACTGGATGAATCCATGCCATTGCTACCAATATTTTGTTTTGAACAATCAACTAACCTCTGCTTAGATTATGATAAAAAACGACACATTTCCAATGTCTTGGGAGAGCCAAACATCACCAAATCCATACTCATTTAGAAGTACGTAGTTTTGAAAGTCAAGTAATCCCAACAACAGAATCTAATCTAAGTATATATTTATACCTTTGTTTAGGGTAACGATCATTAGACATTCTTAATAGTTTACACCAAAATGTACCACATTTAAGATGATAATCTACATTCATACTATATCTTCCACATTCAGATAATGCTACATTACTTGATATATGTTTACAACCCCCTGAAACAAATTTACCCAAATTATATGAAATATATTAACAACACGTCTTTCTTGAAATCCCCACACCTCTGCCCCGTACAACAATATTGGTTTTATTTTACAATCAAAATGTTTAAATAACACATGAACAGGAAAAATTGTAAAATTATGTTGTAATTGTTTTAAAGTCATACTGTTATATTGGCTTTTGCCAATAGCGTCTTAGTACAAAAACTTCAAGACAACCTAGTAGAAAACATGATACCAATATAATTATAATATGTTGCTATTTTAAGTTGTACGCTATCGAAAACCTTATTTTCATAATTACGAAGGTAACCCCCATGTCGAAATACTAAAATCTCTTATCCATATTAACTTGTAACCCCAAGACTTACAAAATGTACTCAAGATGTCCATTTTCCTTTGCAGCCCAACCACACTATCATCAAAAATACATAAATCATCAGCATACAATAATAATAACAAATCTAAATATTCTTCACAGATTAAATATACCTCTGACATCAGAATCTTCTATCATATATTGAAATTCTGAGATAAACATTGAAAATAAAAATGGACGAAGGACACATCCTTGTTTTACTCCACTTAAGCAATCCAAATACTCTGTTATAGAAGTGCCAGATATTCTAACAAAGGTTTTATTTTAGAATGCATATTTTGTAAAGCAAACAACAACTTTCCAGGAACGCCTTTTGTCATAACTGAAAACCATAACAAATTCCCATTAACCGAATCGAAAGCCTTTTTGAAATCATCATACAAACAGAAATATCTACTCCAGCTTTCAGGCAAATATTTTTTGCATAAGACATTTTTAATGTAAAAACATTATCCATTGCACAATATATCTTTCTGAATCCTGCCTGTGACTCTGGAATATTGTTAAAGAAATCAGCAAACTGCTGCAGACGTTAACAATAAAAGAAAAATTCTGTGAGGGAAATACTCGATAATTATCCACCCAATCATACCGTCCCTGCTTATGGAGTGGAACAACCAAACATTCACACCTCTCAGTAGGACAATTACCTGTAGATAGAATATTATTACACAAATAACTATTAGATACGGAACGAGATGACTGCCACAACTCCACCCGGCTAAAACACCACCCGGGCCTGCAGCTTTACCCAACTTAAGATCTTTTATGGCTGGTTCAATCTTTATCAATCCTACAAGGTGTGTATTCCTGAGATGACGCGAGTACTAGACACCCGGTTCTCATTCTTACAGGATGACACGCGAGATATCCACGCGAGATCCCCCAACGTCAAACGCTTAATCCACAGCTTTCAAATATTTCCCCGCATCCACCCCTATTTCCAACATTATAAGGTGACATCCTACATGTCCAGGAACCCGAGATTCTCAACTGACAATCTCACACGGTTGCTCGGACATAGGTATATGAATTATTACCATATTGACAGAAAATAGGATTTATTTCAATGGTTCGGTAATATAACTACATCATGTTATCAGCAATGGATCGTTAGCGTGCAGCGTTAGAGTGAGTGGGTCAGTGAGTTTACTTTTACGCCGCACTCAGAAGTATTCCAGCTATATGGCGGCGATCTGTAAATAATACAGTCTGGACCAGACAATCCAGTGATCAACAGCATGAGCATCGATCTACGCAATTGGGATACGATGACATGTGTCAACCAAGTCAGCGAGACTGACCACCAGATCCTGTTAGCCGCCTCTTACGACAAGCATGGATTACTGAAGATCAGTTCTAACCCGGTTGAATTGATATCGGCTTTATACTAATTAAGCAATGGCTGACAGAGAGTACAGTGATATAAATGTTTGATATGAAATAACGATTGAAGTATTTGACATGACTAATATAAGCGGCAAACCCTAACCCTTCCTTGCTAAATGCAGGGTGGATTGTACAATAGTGACTGCATCATGAGTTTATATTTGTTTCAGCAATATTACAGCTGTACGATGTTGTTTGTAAATATATCGAGTCTGGACCAGACAATCCAGCGATTACCACTATGCGATACGATGGCAGAGCATGTGTTTATGAATCCCTATGAAATAGTGATGATACCAGGTACCGAAAAGGTGAGCGTCCCACCGGTGGCACCTGTCACAAGTCTCGTAATTTGTTCAACTGAAATAATTTGGGAACATATGGTATAGGTCAAAATAGGGAATTGCATCGGATATCATTTTTGTCACTTATGCATCAAATTTGGAAATTTCCTCCACATGTCTACAATAAAACTCCTTGAAAGTTTTACTGAGGCCCTGGATGCTGTAGCCTTGATCAAACAACTTCTGAGCAAGAGTGGTATGACGCTCTTTGACGCTCCTGATGAAAAGAGCACGCTCGATTGTACCTCAAAAGATGTGAACTGTAAACAGCCAAGGCTGGAGCTGTTGGAATATTGCTGACATAAAAATCATCACTTTTGTCATACAGCCTTGTGGCATTCAGGCAGCTGCAGGTAAGATAATGATCCCCATTTTAGTCTAATCACACATTTAGGTACTTGACACTAAGATTTTTGTCAGTATCGTAAATTAATTGTCTTTTGATATGAATATAAGCACATCTACTGTGGAAAGTCACGATTTGTTCAGTTTGAAAATGACTGTTATATTTTAACACATAAGTTTACAAAATATATCATTTCACCCTTGAGACTAAACTGTCTTTTGATCCATACATTAGAACTACTTTATAATCTTTTAAATAGGTGTACCCCTGAGAGGGTACTAAAGTCCAATTTCATTCACATTAAGTTTCATTCTCCGTGATTTTAATCGTAGAGTGTTCTTTCAATGTATGGCTAATTTGCGAAAAGATATCGCCAACGCCTGAAGGAATTATGTAAGTCCATCTATGGGCCAAAGTCCCAATTGTTCCTTGTATGATGATCTACCTTCAGTAAAGACCGTTTTAAAATTGTATAGTTCTCTATAGTGATACCTTTATGTGATAACATGCTAGTTTTAAGTCAGAACCTGTGACGGTCTGGTCATTTTAATGTAATTGTTCTCGTTACGATATGGCTGAAATATTGCCAATCTGACGTTACATATTAACTCCCCGACTCCCCGTTGACCTCTTGTGTGTTCAGTGTCTCAATTTTAAGTAATGGAAGAATTATCACTGGAACCAGCACTGCTCTTTTTTCACTATTCTGATTCTAAAGTACATATGATTATTTGCCCATGCGTCTTAAGACAACTTATTAAAAAATTCCCACTTAGTTGACCACTGGCTAGGGTAACTAGTCTGTCTCACAGTCCCTGAACCATATTATTTTCCCTACTGCCCAGACCTCCCTGCAGTGCTAAAGCCCTAAACGAAGCAAGTCTAGATTTCCTCAGGTTCTGAATCTCCCATCTCACTGGGGCTCCTTTTCAAATTAAACGGGATGATTTGTTACTTTCAGAATTATACATATTCAGAGACTGAATCTCCATTCTCAATGAGGCTCCCTTTCAATTTAAATGGGATTTCTTTGTTACTTTCAAAATTATATATATTCAGAGACTAAGCGTTAGTGTATAGGGTAATACGAAACGCTGACCACGGACTGGAGGATGGAAGTGAACTGTCGATACCTAACATTAAAAGAGCAACCATTAGAAGGACTCACTGGGGGTACGCTGGAATGAGTTTGGTTTGCATTATCAAAGTATTGTTTTGTTGGGGTGCCATGGTATCATTGTGTTTAACACTGTGTGGTTTCCACACGTATTTTGTTGTTGTCATTCATTTCCACAGACTGCATGCAGGTAACGTTGTTTCATTTCAGGCTCTCGTTGTCTTGTTCTAACATGTGTTTTGTCAAATACATGTTCATGAAGAAAAAATAAAAGGATGTGATTTTAGTGTCGGAGCGATCGCAGTTTTAGGTTAGCTAGCGATAGACTGAACACCGCAATGAATCCGCAATGCCACAAACAATATGCAAGTAAGCTGTTCCCCGGAGTTTATCAGTAGAATATTTCCTAATGAAAGGATGAATCAAGCAGGTTTCGTAAACATACCCACACAACGGCTGCCTTATTTTAACCCCCTTACAGTAGTCTTATGTAAACTTACATTTGGCCTATTTCTCAGCCTTTTCAAAAATATTTCACAACTATTTTCCATAATCATCAAAGATAATTGCAAGGCTGCACGCTGCCAAGCGCTCCTGGATGAATCGCAAGCAAACAGTGATTACACGGGTGCTCGAGGAAGGTCGAGGTCACGCAGCCCCACTGGCCAACTCAATCAATATCAAGTGAATTGTGCACTCGAAGTATAAGCTCAGGCTCAGTATTATTCGTCTCAGTATTATAAACAAATCCTAGTAGAAGGTCGCGTCAGCTTACCTTTAAGCGACCTATGACCGTCCAATCAAACGCGAGACGGCAAAACGGATTTAACCAATCAGTCAGCGACTACTTGTTAGGGTTCGACGGGACTTTGGATTTTCTCTTCCCTTGTCTATTGATAACGAATAATACTGAGCCTGAGTTTACTTAGACTGGCCAATTGTGTTCCCGACAAACAATCACGAGGACGCTCGGTACAACCCACAAGCAGTATTTGCCCTTAACCCTGAAAAGCTGCAGGCCCTAAGGACCCAGAACCATAAAAAGTCGTGGGTCCTGATCAGAATCATTCTCTTTCCACAGAGGTTACTCCTGTCATATCTTCCTACGTAGGAAGATATGACAAGTAACCTCTGTGGGAAGAGAATGGATCAGAATGTGTAGGCCCTATATTTTAGTATGGAGATAATACTCTTAGTTAATATGGGTGAAAAAGCTGTCGGCCATAAGGACCCGCAGAAAAAAAAAGCTGTGGGTCCGAGTGGTTTTCAGTCGGCTTCGGGCCTGCGGACCGACGTTAATTTCGAACGCTGCCCACAAGGGGACAACAAAACCTTTGACAACCCCACCCGGGCTCAGGCCCTCGTGTCTTTGCGAGGATTAAAGATTTAAAACATAATAATCATGATTTGTTGTAAGGTGAAACATTTCGAGGAGATGGGGTCATCTAATTTTTTTATACTTTTTAAAAATCTTTAATCCTGTGCACCCGGGTACCGAATGCTCACAACCCGACAACACCCGTTAAGATCCGGTCTAGAATTGATCTTCAGTAACACAAGAGGCGACTAACGGGATCGGGTGGTCAGGCTCGCTGACTTCTTTGACACATATCATCGTATCCCCATTGCGTAGATCGATGCTCATGTTGTTGATTAGTGGATTGTCTGGTTCAGACTCGATTATTTACTGATCATATGATATTGGCATGTCTTCATGTGCCATATGTTTGGAATGTGTGTTCATAACAAGAAGTATTTCCATGAATTCATGATGGTGCTTGAACATAACGGAAGAAATGTATTGTTTATTTATAGTTTTATATATGATATACCAATAATGCACTTATATAGCACCTTATGTCCAACCATTACTGCTCAGTAGCGGTTTGAGTGAGTTTAGTTTTAGTCAGCGAGCCTGACCACCCGATCCCGTTAATCACCTTTTACGACAAGCATGGGTTGTTGCAGACCAAATGTAACCCGGATCTTCTCGGGTTGTAGAACATGTGTATGCAGACAGGGTACCAGTTCAAGGGTCAAGGCCACGTTCCCCAAAGATACCGTTACTAAGGATGAGGGAAATGGTACTCTTGTCTTTGTGCTGATATGAACTTCGGAGCGTACATTATCACTACAATTTGACCATTTTCGGAAATTTCTGACCTAATAGATACGTATGTTTTTCTCCTTTGCAGGTTCAGACGATGCACCGACAGCAGAATATCAGTTTGGTATTTTGTGGCATAGGGTTATGCATAACGTTTCTTCTGTACAACAGTGTGTCATGGCAAGACCCCGTTTGGCTGATGCCGCTTCCAAATGTCGCAATGAATTACTCACTCGCCAGTCTATCGGACGCAGACCTCGCATAGCTCAGGGCACACGATGACATCAACGATACTTCCGACCCATACTACAAATTAGCTGTCAGTGCCTCCAAGAAATTTCCATATTTCTATAAACCAATTTCATTTCATTCCACCGAACAGTTCAGACAGAGAGTTTCCTACAACGTGAATTTCGAAAACGGATTCCAGACATCACATGGAAACCAATCAAAGATGATATTGTTTTATAACACACCAGAATGGTTCAGCCACTTCAAGGATGTTTGTCCACAAGGTTTACAGAAGTGTCCACAGAGAGGCTGCGAATGTTCATATGATCCCACTCAGATCAGAAGAGCAGATGCTGTGCTCATCAATGTAGTGCAACTTTCTGACACCATTCCACCTGCCAAACAAGCCAATCAAGTGTGGATCATGTTTGGATTAGAGTGTCCATACTATTATGAAAGTAAAGTCCACTACTCCCAGCAGTGGCGCCGTGTGTTTAACTGGACAATGACCTATCGGCTTGACTCGGACATTGCCTTGCCTTACAATGTTCTTTTGCGCACGGCGACACACAAATCAGCTAATTTTACCAAACTTGCTTTGAAAAAAACTAAATCCGTTCTTTGGTTTGCCAGCAACTGCGAGACGCCCTCAAGACGCGAAGACTACGTCGCCGAATTACGCAAGCATATACCAACAGATGTGTATGGAAACTGTGGCTCCCCAATGTGCAGTTATGGAGGAGACTGCCAGAGTTCACTTTTCGGTGAATACAGGTTCTACTTAGCGTTTGAAAATACTCTGTGCATTGACTACATCTCTGAAAAGTTATATAAAATCTACTCTGAAAACATTGTTCCAATTGTTCGGGGAGGGGCAGATTATAATTCCCTGCTCCCAAAAGGAACGTACATTAATGCAGCAGACTTTTCTAGTCCAAAAGAACTGGCAACCTATCTTAAGTATCTGGAAACAAACGTGACAGCCTATGCTGAGATTCTGGAAAACAAATCCGGGTATAGACATTCAGATGTAGAAACAACCTATGAATCTGCCTTCTGTGATATATGTTTGAAGCTTCATAATTTGGATAAATATCACCAATACTATTATGATAGTGCCCGTTGGATACACGAAGACACATGTCACAATCCCAAAGACGTTTGAAAAGCTTTCAAAATTGTAAAATGTATATTCTATTGAAGTGTGTTGTAATTCTACTGATGGTTATATTGTAATACGTGGTGTACAAAAGGACATTTTGATGCATCCAGTCCCGGAGTATTTGCCTGCCCAAACCTTGCCATCTCGTGCTACAGAATGACTGGTTGGTTGTTGTTTTACGCCGTACTCAGCTGTATTCCAGCCATATGGCGACGGTCTGTAAACAATCGAGTCTGAACCAGACAATCCAGTGATCAACAGCATGAGCATCGATCTATGTAATTGGAATACGATGACATGTGTCAATCAGATCAGCGAGCCTGACCACCCGACCCCGTTAGTCGCCTCTTACGACAAGCATGGGTTACTGAAGACCGATTCTAACCCGGATCTTCACGGGTGCTACAGAAAGAAACTGTATCCGTGTACAGGAGCAGACCCCAATCTCCCCCTAAACGTTTTCCCCTGGGGAGCATTTCCTCCCTAACCTTAGTTTGGACTTCATGATTTATGTGCACCCCTTTCCCACCTCCAAACTCCTGGATCAGCCCCTGGTATAGTACGCTTACAAGCAATGATATAACTGTATGCATTTTAGCGGCGTTAAACTAACTTGGTCACTCGGAACAAGCTCGTGTTTAAGGTTGTTAGGTATGTTTAAGTTTGCATTGGTTCGGCTCTTAGTAAAGTGTTGATTACGCTTGTCAAGGGTGCACTCTCTTTAACTTGAGATCAATGACTTAGTACAACATATTTCAGTCCGCTGATACTGGTTCCTGTATGTGTTGTGTGAATGTACCGATTAAAAAAATATGTGCTGTAAGATAAGGGCGAATACGTGCGTTACAATGGTTCATGGGTTGTAATGTTGATTTAAGTTTTTTTCTTTACCTTGAAAGCTCGTCAGAATAAAGCCTGAGTTACCCATTGAAGGTCAATAGGGGCGATCAAACGTTGTAAATTGAATCTGTCAGCGTGTGTCACCTTGCCCCCGTGGCGTTGATTGTACTCGTGTTTGTTTTACTTGATAGTGGGATATTTTTGTATTACAGTGTCACACGCACAAGTACATGTTACATACCATACATTATACAACAGTAAAAACCGTGCGTCGAGCCACAAACTGGCTTTTGAGACACTAAAACCTATATACGATTATAACTATATGAAAATAAGATGTACATATATGATGTCAATGACATTTCTCGTCTTTTAAACATATTTAGAAGTGAGGAGGCTAAAATATTTTGCAATTTTTTTCTTTCATAAGAAATACAAACTTGTCGGAAACGCAGACGTTCGATTAGCCGTTACCTTTGGGACAAAACTTCTAATCGTACCTGAAATGATGGACACTAAATAAGCACTTATCAAGTGTCCATGCTGAAATGAAGTCATTAACCTCATCAGAACTAGTCAACTTTTCGAATGATAAATTGCGACATATATCGTTAACGCTTACAATTTGGTGAATGAGTGAGTGAGTAAATACACCATTCCTTTCGCGGCGACCACACATGCGAAAATGACGAAAACCGGTGTTAGGCCGACACACCAAGCATCAATAAGAAAAATTTGGGTTTGACTCCAAGTGTTATCTCACACATCTATGGGTGAAATCAATATTTTATCAACTTTTTTTTCGTAAACTGTGATGCAGGCTAATTCAGACAAGGAAAAATACACAACCTTTACATGAACGTATGAACAAAGATATTACAGAGCTTCAATGAATCCCAGCAAAAAGCAGCCAAATTGTGGAATCTGTGCACACTTTACACACATATGGCACACAGATTAGAATTCAATAGAGGCCAAATAGTATGTGAGTAAATTTAGCCTTACGCCGCACTCAGCAATATTCCAGTTTTATGGGGTTGGTCTGTAAATAATCAAGTCTGAACAACACAATCAAGTGATCAACAGCATGAGCATCGATCTACGCATTTGAGATACGAAAGCTGTATTTCACATTTTTAATATATTTTGCCCCAGTGATCACAGTCGTCCCAGTAGTCGGAGTTTCATTTTCAATTTATCTCCGTTACACAAACCCGCGCGCATGGCAGGCTGATCCCGCCGGTCCAACATTAAACTGACAGCTCCACATGGCTACAATGTGTGAAGCCCATTTCTGGTATCCCCAGCCGTGGTATTGCTGGAATATTGCTAAAAGCGGCCATGTTGGCCATGTACTGATTGTAAAGTACGAAATATACTAACTAACCTTTCACAAGCTCGCCCTGTCGTCCTTTACGAACAAATCTCGTTGATCTCAAAATCACGAATGTACAATGCTTGGCAACAGTACAAGAATCTGTATCGAACTTGTGGGGTTGCACTCACGAAATAAAGACTGTTCAATATTGAACGTCCCAACTACTAAAATGCCGCTCAAACAAGTAAAGAAAGAAAAGCGTATCTCTCTATTAGACATTGGCCTTTCAGTAATGAGTTCTTGTCAATATATCGTTGAACAAGTCCCTACTTGCACATCCGAGGTATGCTCTACTTTAAGGTCGGACAAGAAATGTATGCAATGAACAAGAAGAATCACCAAGAATGTGCCCTGCTCTAAAACACCATCGTGCGTGTAGCGGTAGAATTTTCTAAAACCTTCATTTCTTCACCGATTTCGTTCATATTTGAAATATATGTTAATCATAACATATAAAAACAATATATGATTGCAAAAGTTTAGATGTATATTTTTCAAAATTATTGTCCAAACAGTTATTCGAACCCCTGTGGTTTCAATCGTCCCACCGTGACCTCATATATAAGGCGTTGAGAAAGCCTTCATAATTCATTGTGCGTTCATAAACCCATTTTGTGTGGAGGTCGGGGAGGGGGTGTCTTACTTTGTACATAAATTATAGGGGGGCGTTCACCAACCATAAAAATAAAAATCCTCATCGTGAATATGATACATGTATTTCTAAACGACAATAGTTCGGTTATTATCACTACTGCCGATGTTGAAATAAGTAATTCCATGAGTAATTACTCCTTGACCCCCTAACAGAAAATACATAGGTTATAATTTATAATCGATCAAGTAATAATTACTGCAGATCTGCAATTTGTGTACAACATGGGCGATATTAGAAAAGTGTTTTAATTTAGTAATCTTCTAAACCCAAATTATAAAATCGTAAAAACGCTTACATTGCCATCAATCCATAACTATACTATCCCAAAAAGAACGTATAGGCGTTTTGTATTTTTAAAAATCTATTAATTACCAATTGTGTTCAAACAATCGTCAAAATATGTAACAAAAGTGTTGATAGCATAATTTTACACTATTGCACAAGTGATAAATCGGCTTTACCTGAAAATGTTGATTTTGATGAGATTTCTTACAAGAATTAAAAAGGCATCGCCATAACGCAACAGACATCACCATGCAGTTGAAATTGTGCAGCAAAGAACATGCACTGTCTGGCTATAAAAATCCAGATTACTTTTGGAAATCGACATTCGTTTGAAGGAGTTTCAAGGTCAAATCACTACGCCACGTCTTGACGCTGCGACACGGAACATCGCCATTGAAAAAATGCACGCTGGAGATTACCAATTTTCTGTTGCCAGGCGTCTGAATGTAGTCTGAACACGATATCACTGCTTGCAGCTCGTTACAACCAAACAGGTATAACAAATGACCGTGCCCGTACAGGCAGACGTCGAGTCACCACTGCAGCCCAAGATCGGTACATCCGGGTACTACATTTGCGTGATCGTACTGCCACGGGTGAGAGCACAGCAGCCAGGGTGCCTGGACTTCGGAGGATATCCGGTCAAACTGTACGGAGCAGGTTGAAAGAGACTGGACTGAGAGCCAGGAGACCCGGCGTCGGGACCATGCTACGTGGTCAGCATCGCGCTCAACGTCTCCGTTATCTAAAATTATCCGCTTGGTTGTATAGACATTACCTTCTTCTAAACTGATGTAAAAATTCATGTGCTAAAGTCTATTTGTTATACATGTGCTAAAGTTATACATGTTTGAAAATACAACATTTTCGCAACAGATTTCTGGGTTATGCGTTTCTGTTTTGGAATAGTATATTAGCATTTTCATAACTTTGCACCAATGTAATGTATCATTTGAAAAATTGACAAATCTTGTCTTCAAACAAATGACGCGAAGTCGATCGAACGATCGTTCGTAATGTAACATAGTAACGCATGAAATCTATTTATATTCAATAATATTCTTGTAACGTATATTTTTTCAATACAAATTCACATGTCTTGTTATATGTCACAAAATACTGAGGAAGTACAAATCAGGTTTGCTGCTTCTTATACAGGAATAGTACTTACTCGATCACCATCAGGGTTATGGTCAACAGTCAAATAAAACCTGGAACAAATGTTGCCTGGTTTACTTATAAATGTGGAATTTGGGGTTTGTGTTAGTTTCATCCTTGTTAGAATTTCAGTATATTGACGTAAATTCGTTCTTTACAAATACTATCGACCAAGGGACTCTTTTTCTCTCTCACAGTTTTTGTTACTGAACTTTTCATAACTTGCAAATTTCAGTAACAGGAATGAAGAAAGAGTTTATCGACCTTCTGTACACGGGCGTCAGCCCGGAGAGCGGAAGGTCGCGGGTTCGATCCCCGGCCGCGTCATACCAAAAGACGTTCAAATATAGTATTTGTTGGTCCCTGCCTGGCGCTCGGCATTAATGGGTACAAGGACTGGTCGGCCCGGAGTCAGGATAATGTGTCTGAGTGGGGTATTCATGCTTCACTGCGGCATGGTATCTCAGTGGGCTAGCACTATAAAACCAAGTACAAGCAGCCACACATACACACGCATGCACGTCGTCATATGAGCGAAATATTCTCAAGTACGACGTTCGGACGAGTGAAATAAAATATGAAGATTCAACGATGTGAAATATCAGTTAAAAACTGGATTGGTGGGCAGGTCATACTCGAATTTGAGCGTGAATATGATTCCCACTGAACGGTTCGTTGTTAGCATTATTTAATGCAGGAATTTAGGCGGAATTTTGTGTTAAATTAGCTGTCGGTAATACCCGACACCGCTCTACCTTGAAAAATCTGTTGAACTTTCTTGAAAAATAA